AGAATTTCCACAATAATCATTTGTGGGCAGAAGAAACTCCCTATGGCGTAACCGAAACCTATTTCCAGCACCAATTTCCGGTTAACGTATGGGCAGGAATTATTGGCAACCACTTTATTGGCCCATTATTCTTGCCGGGGCGACTTGATGGACAGACTTACCTCAATTTTCTTCAACAACAGTTGCCTTTGCTGCTTGATGATGTTCCGTTAGTAATAAGAAACAATATGTGGTACATGCATGATGGTGCACCAGCGCATTTCAGTGTAGGGGTTCGTAAGTATTTACAAACTGTTTATCCAAATCGTTGAATTATCCGCGGTGGACCCCAAGAATGGCCACCAAGGTCTCCAGACCTCAACAGTTTAGAGTTATATTTGTGGGGCTATCTTAAGACACTAGTGTACACAAGTCCCATTAACACTGTAGAGGAATTAAGAGAAAGAATAGTTGCAGCTTGTGATAGCATAAAAAACACTCCAGGGATATTTCAACGAGTGCGCAATTCCATGAGAAGGAGGGCGGAAGCATGCATACTGAGTGAAGAGGGCCATTTTCAACAATTTTTGTAATCATTTCGATGGTTTTAATGTCCTGTTGTTGTTGTTCATTAACCCTAATGTGTAATTTTTCCCATTAAATTAATAATAATTTTGCAAGTTAGACAATAGAACGGTTTTTATTTTTTTACTCAAAAAATCATTGGCGTACCATTTTTTTCAATATCGAAATTCGAAATATCGAAGTCAACACCCGTACGCACGCCACTGTTAAAGCTAAAAATTTATTTTTGCATTGAAAAATATGCAACTTTATTAACTTTCACTACGTACTAAATATCAGTGAAATATCTGAAGCGGTTCTGAAAATTAATTTCAATTTTTTTTCCTAAAACTTCAACACCCCGAGTTTGTGTAAGGAAACATTTTTGGACAATAGTTTATAAAGCAAACTAACATCAATTTTTCATGTAGATTCACACCCTTGAATATTCGCATATCATTAAGCCAGTATAGAGATAGTTTAAGCATTTTTAAATATTTAGATTTTTGAGACAAATGGCGTCAAGAAGGTTGACTATCCAGTTCTCACACAAGAGTGTTCCTATGTTAATTCTGACCCAATTTGGTTAACTACCCTTGAAGGAAAGGTCTAACTGATATTCTCCGAACCAACTAGTGGACCATCAGTTTTTTACTTCCTGCTCTTTTCTTATGGTTTGTTATTAGATCCCAGATGTTTTGCTTCGTCATCTCAAGGCCAAACTGCTATGTCTTGTATCACAAGACAAACAACCATGTTGCTCCCTTGAGGCGCCGGAGTACTATTTCTCGCATTTCAAATCTATCAACGATGCAGATGCAGCATTATTAGTCGAAGATTGCATGACAGTCAGTCGGTATGTTGCGACAACAGTTCTGGGTAGGTTTTCGCGTACTCGGAGAGAATTTGTTGTTTTCGGGACGAAGGCCGAGGGTAATGTGTCTGGTACATTACAAATCTTCATGCTTATCACTTTGGGGAGCTGGCCGTCTTTTGAAAGCGGAAATACCTACCCCAGACCATTCTGTGCTTTGATGTTCAGGTTTTTGCGACAACACAATATATAGTAAGGAAGAAAATAAATCAAATGAATCATTATCAGTTATATATTATGTGGGTGTGTGTTTGTGATGTTTTTGCCTCCTAATGTAACGACACTGATTCAGCCAATGGATCAAGGAGTTTTAGAAAAACGCAATTACAGACGTTGTTATTAGAGCAAATTTTAGATCAAGTTGATAATGGTTGTAACCTCGTGGATTGTTTAAAAGAGATTAACCTCAAGAATGTGGCATATTGGATAGCAGAAGATGGAGCCAAGTAAAAAATAAGGTAATAAAATTTCTGCTAAAATATCACATTCTGAGAGATTAGGAGCTCTACAAAAGGCGTCGACGTCAAACAACCATAAAATGCGTCAGCAGCTGATGTGCTACCTATCAAACGTTGGAGGGATATTTCTGCCAAAAATAGAAATAATGCAAATCGTGTAAAGTTAAAAATTACTTCTTTTTTTACTAAATTCTCGTAAATATGTATGTTTGTATCCCCATGTTTACATTTTACGTAACTTTATATAGGTATATACTCACTTAACACACGCATTTACTTTTCTCAATAAAAGCATTATGAATCTAAATATTTACTTCCATTTTATACTAAATTTCGATTATCCGAAAGCACTTGGGTCCACATTATTTCGGATAATCGAGGTTCTACTGAACGTACTTCTCTTAGTCTATCTTAGTATAACCGCCTACTGTACGCCCCAGATACATGAATAACTATTTTTCAGCGGTGATACAAGTTGCTTTTAAATCTAAATTCATGAAATCACTTGAATATCCATTGTGAAATATTAGCAAAGACAACTAAACGAACGGAACTATCATTCGTTATAAACGAGTGCCATAGGTCAAGGTCACCAGAAGGGTTAATTAGTAAAATTCAGTTCGCATTGAGCGTGATGGCTTTAAATTGCGTTAAATGTCGAGTGTGAGTGACTATCTAGATATGAGATAGCTTCTATTTCTGACTTAACCAGCGAACACTATAATGCTCAGTTCAACGGTGATACAATTAATTACGAACCAATTCTTGGAACATTTGAAGTGTCTTTCCCCATGAGTCATTTTATAAACTCGAATCACTGTATTTGTTATCAACTATTGTAATTTTTTTTACACAGAAGCAGCCGTGCCGCCGGCTACTATGAGGATCCCAAAGAAACTTTGTTGATCCGATTTTTGAACTGCCTGAGATTAGTAGAACTGGGAAAAGCCAGATCTTGAAGATTGTTCCACAATATCGACACCCCAGGGACAAAGGACCCGTTCTGGGTGTACGAAGTTCGACACGGTTAGGATGGAAGGCACATCCCTCGGCGGCATAATGGAAGAGAGCTCTGAGGAGCAAAGCCCAGTGGTGTAGCGGTAGAAGAGACCTAGATCTCCGGCAGCCCGAAAAGGTCCCTATACTGTCTGTTAGAGAAGCGTCACCGATCATTCGAACAAACCGTCTCTGAACAGCATTTCGCATGGATAGTATTGTCGGGGCGGCAGCATCCCAAAGATGTGAGCAATACTCGAGGCTAGGCCTCATCTAGACCTTGTATAAGGTAAGGAGGTCATGGGGAGACAAATAGTTCTTAACCCTAAACAAATAGCCTAGTTATTTCCCAGTAGAATAAACTTGATTTGTAAATCTCCTCTGAAAAACTCTTCCGAAAAATATAAAGGTGCTCGATTCGACGAAACACATTGGACTGATGATAGACGTAAGTTAAAGCACCACAACCCAACCAGTTTTCAAGATCAAACAAAAAACACCAGGGTCGCTTGCTATTGATTTGCGTAATACTAATTTAACTGGATTATTTTTAGATAGTCCTGCATAGTACATCATATACTAAGTGACATATAAATCCGAACACCCAGTTTAAATGGTTTTATTTTAATAAAAGTTGGTGAATGTATTTATCTTACTGTAAATAACAAGTGAAAAAATTTTCAGCCTTATCAGTTGGACATTCCGGTTTTTATACTGCTTTTTTTTAATTCACTAACGCTCTAAAAATGAATATTTTGGCCGCAGTAAAGAATCAACGTTGGCGGATTTTGGTTCTTGACATCCTTTACGATTGGTTACGATGCCTAGAGTACGGAGACCTGTACGATTTTGTCAACTTAGTGAGTTTGATAGGGGCCGTATAGTGGGACTTCGGGAAGCTGGACTTTCTTTTCGGGCAATTGCAGTTAGAGTGCAGAGAAGTGTAGACACTGTGGTTAGGTGTTGTCAGGCATTGCTTCGAGAAGGCCGTACGCAAAGAGCAAGGGGCACTGGACCCCGCCGTAGAACAACAGACCGTGAAGATCGCCGCCTAAGATTATTGGCCTTAAGGGACCGTTACTCCACTACCAGGTCCATTGCAAATGGATGGTTTGCAGAACACGGAAGACCAATTGGCATGCGAAGTGTTTACCGACGAATGAGAAGTTTTGGCTTGTTTTCATACCGGCCACACTGGGTCCTCCCTTTAACTCGAGAACACCGACGTAATCGCCTTGAGTGATGCAGACAACGGTCACTCTGGGATCAGGAATGGAACAGTATTGTCTTTAGTGTCTTTAGTGTTGAAAGACATGTTCATCACACTGTTGGAGTTATGGTTTGGGGTGCTATAGCTTATGGTTCCAGGTCACCTTTAATCTTCATCAGAGGTAACATGAACGCGCAGCGTTATATCCACGAAGTTCTAGAACCCCATCTTTTACCCTATCTTGACACCCTGGCAGATCCAACTTTCCAACAAGATAATGCCCGACCACATGTTGCAAGAGTCACAATAGACTTCTTTCAACATAATGATGTCACATTGTTACCATGGCCACCAAGATCTCCCGACTTATCCCCAATTGAGCACGTGTGGGATATGATGGGTAGGAGATTGCTCAATTTGCAACGTCCTCCTCAGACTCTAGAAGCACTTCGAGAGGAGTTGGTGGTTGCCTGGAATGAGATACCACAGGGGGACATTGACCACCTGATCAGAAGCATGCCTAGGCGCGTTGGAGAATGCGTAGCACATCAGGGTGCATCCACACATTATTAAAGGTCAAAGGGCTTTAAAGCAGTGCAATCATTTTGAAATTTTTATCATTTTCTTATTATGCTTCATTAAGTACTTATACAAAATTTTATTAAAATAAAACCATTTAAACTGGGTGTTCGGATTTATATGTCACTTAGTATACTTTCATTTCTTATAAGATAACGGTTTTAAAGACAACAAAATTGTTTCTAATCAAAGTGGACATTCGGAAAGCATCACAGAATAAAATATCCTAGGACGACTATTAAAAAATGTCATATATTTAGAAAATACTCGTTATATGTGGTTGGCGATAAGGTTAGATATTACAAAACTATGAGGAGGAGGAGCTCATTTGAGAACTTACCTAACACATTGTCTCGTGCAAGAAAGCAATGACCGTCGCCAACTGAAACAGGAAAAATAAAAAGTGAATAGTGGGAAACAAGCAGTAAGTTGATCCAACTAAGAGATGTTATAATATCGTACAATTATCTCACTGATGACGTCACAAACAAAACGTTTGATCAGTGCAATTTGAAGTTTTTCCACTTTTTTAAAGTAAAAAAAATGATATTAAAAAAATAGCGTCAAGTAAGTTAACCGCACCTCCCACGCAACACCGTCATCAGTTAATGCAGTTCAGCACAAGTTAAACCGTCTGAGAAAAAAGCTAGTTACGAACATATACAACAGAGAAGGTTAACGGATCGAGTCAATCAAACAGGCGCATACTATTAGTCCATGTACTTTATTTTCCTGTCCTACAGGTAATACCGTCCAACTGGCAACGTTGCCCCTTCCCGTATCTGACTGCACGACGCATCAAACGCCACAGCGCCCAGCGCAGCACCGCTGCAGTTCTGGCAGGGCACTCAACCAGACTGGCACGCCAGCCGGTGAACCCAGATGGCAGAAGCAGAAACTCGAATCGAAAACATTTCTCTATCATTCTAAGGTTTGAAGGCAAATTACGGAGAAATATACCTCTGATGTGTGTGAAATGTCGCTAATAGTTGCGTACAATAACCGGGTTAAAGCGTTGAATAATATTAATATCAAGAAATTGATAAATAGCCTCCTCCACATCTTGTAAGCCCCAACCCCCAATTTTTAACCATACGAGTTTTTTTTGGAAGATGATCAAGAGCATCTGAAGCGTCAAAAAATGAAGTTTATACGATTTTTGTCTTTTCCGTGTTTTATCCCTTACTCCGTCGCGAAAGAATTTTCAAAAATTATACAGGGATTTTTCCTTAGCATAGTTGTGACCTTGTGTGAAAGTTTCATCCAAAACATATATCTCATTTTCGAAATTTTCGCGATTACAATAATTCTTCGCCAGTAGGCGTGGTAAGTAAAAGGATACCAGACATACCATAAAATAGAGATTTTTGGAAGTAACGAGCATTTCGGATTGGAATAACCTGTTTTACTGCAGCTCTTTCTCTTTCTCTCTCTTTCTTATTGATTAATTTTTATTATGTTTTATGACACCGAGTGCTAACATGAGCTATTACTGATGTAACTGAAAACGTGTCTCCCGTATTTATTAAGCTGTTTTCTTATGACCGTACCCCTATTGGTGGAATAATTATTAACTTTTGTTCTGTATCATGTGACATTAAACATCTAATATAAGCTACCAGTCATCGAGTAATTATAACATTATTATCCGTTCCTTCACACATTTAACAAATTGTCGGATTTCGCATTGTTCGGAACGCGAACGGATGTTACGTAAGTAACAAGCACTCGCTGTGAAAACCAGCGAGTTATCCAAAAACGGAATAATGTCGCAGTTACATTGTGGCCGATATGTAACTGACTAGTTTGCATCTTGAACATTTGTGAAATGAAATAGAATACGTACATTTTTTTCATCTCAATCTTTTATTGAAACTTAGAAATTATGTATGAAAAATAATATCGGACAAATATCCGCGCGAACTTGAGCCCTCTTGATTATATTTTCCATCACTTTTTGGTAGATTTCGGGAGGAATAGTTTCAACGGCTTCCGTAATTTTATTCTTCAGCTGCTCTAACATACAGTATTTGGTTTGTTGGCATAAGCCCTTTTTTTAAAAAATCCCAATAAAAGAAGTCAAGAGCCGTTAAATCCGGTGACCTTGGTGGCCAGTTGACATCACCAAATCGAGAAATTAAACGTCCCGGAAATATTGTTCGCAAAAGATTCATTGTTTAGCTAGCTGTGTGACAAGTTGCTCCGTCCTGCTGGAACCACATGTTTTGCAGGTTAAATTGTTGGATTTGAGGTACCAGAAAATTTTGCACTATATCACGGTAGCACTCGCTGGTGCCATACCAAATACCGCACCAAATTGTGACTCAACAAGGATGTAGTGGTCGTTGATGGATGACACGATAATTCTGCTTATTAACTGACTGAAATGCATGTATCAAAAATGGCGCACAATTTAAATCAGTCGGTTATATATTGGTCACACTGTAGAAGTATAGAGGGGTAAAAACCAATCTAAAATTCGTTCTACAAGGCAATTTTGAGGAAACCAGAAGTGAATATAATAAGAATAATTTTCTTTGAGCTAAGATTGTGGTTTGAGTCTGCGGCCATGCAGAAATTGTTGAATGTAAGATCTCGTTTGAAGAATAAAGATTAAGAATCAAAGCTCTAATGGATTATTTGTTATCCGCATATGGAAGCGCGTCGAACATTGCATTTGAATAGCTAATATTGCGCACTGTGACGCTAATGGCATGATGACAGCTTGCTGCTATCTATTTGTGCATCTAACATCGTGATGGGTGGCACGGTATGCAAATACTTTGAGCGTGTATTCAAGTGTATCAAGACTAATCATTCCAATACATGAATATGCTGAATTCGTCATTTCTCATGTGTAACAACGCTGGATATCGGTATCCTCACCTGAATCTTTGATCTTCTATACGTGATCACATATATGGAGAGTGAATACGAATTATTTCATGGTTGAAGAGTTGAGCAATAAAAATAGTACTTTATGGGAACCAAACTGGAGCGTAACTAATCTAATATATGTTTAATTGCAGCATTTGTATAAGAGGCAACATTGATTGCGTCCATCGAAGATCTGTTAATTACAATAATTTCGAGCTACAAACCCAGATGTGAAAAACTGAATCAGTCAAAATAGACCTACGTTTACTAAACAACTAAGCATTACTGGTACTATCAAAACCACCTGTGATATCAGACGGAATTTGAAACACCATATCAAAAAATGGGCCTAAGTCGATTCACTCCGTACTTCCAATTCTAGACAGACGGAGTAAGCAGCACCTTTATCATTTGACGGCAATGGAAATAAATCCTTGTACAATGACATACGGCCATACAGTGAAGTACAGTATTCCTGATTTAAAGAATATGCCTCATATAGTATCTGACTTAACTTTCGTACGTTCTGGTATCTTTACCATTAACATGCCGTATAACTCATTACAGCTGGTGATCTTATAGGAAGAATATACTATAAATATTATTGTGAATTTGAAATTTCGCCCTAGTATTATTACATCATCGCCGACCTCGATGACGCTGCGGTTTGGAGCAGCGTCGACGTTGCTGTATTCGAATCGGACCCTCAACAGGTAAAGGATATCGCGTGTTTCTGGATAGCTGGTGTTGCTACAATCATAGACGTAAATATTATGCGAAATACGTGTGATATTATCTAACAAGTGCTAGTGCAAGTCTTAACATGCACATCATAATTGTGCTTCCCTTTGTCCTTTCGGCAACTTCTTTAGGGTATTGCAGCAATCACACTAATGATATCAAACATCTCCGCACCAGCTATTCCCATGAAAGAATTAGGTACTATATCAGTCTCTAACTACTTCTCTCTGATTCAAGTACCGTGTGAAAGCGGGTCTAAGAAGCAGCTGTTTTTCAAATCAAATGTATAAACAATACACCTATAAAGCTCGGAGTATTCTGGGATGATAATATCACACATTTCCTTCCTGGTGTATTAACGACGTGCCCGTTGCCGTATATGCCTTGTTTGGCAGTATAGATCCATTTAAAACAAATGATGATTACAAACTCTATGTATATTTATAGAGACAATGCATGAACCAATTACAGTACTCGCCATAAAGTCCAGATGAAGCAAAAAACGGCTACATGTTGTACGGATGTCAGCGATAATTCTAACATGGCAGTGGACATAACTTGTGGGCTTGCTGGTACATACAATATAATATGTAAATGTGCAGACTGCAATTGGAACATGTTGAAACCTAAACCAGCCACACCACATTATTGGTTAGTCCGAAAACAGATATATGTTGCACAACTTGTGATACATAGGGTTTTATTGCATTCACACTTACAAAATCTGTTGATAGAATTACTTACAGTGCTTTTCAGAAACTCAATTTTCGAACGGGTCTGGTTAGGAAGCTGAAATTTGGGATAATGAAATTGATACGTGAAAATATCAGTTTAAAATTCCAAGATGGCAGCTGGGCACCATCTTGTAACATTTTTAAAATGGCGGGTCATGTAATCTTAATTTGAAGTTCATTATGAATACTTTAAGAACCTGGGGTATAAAATCACAGTCTTTCAAAATAGCGGACTGGCAGGCTGTCAAAGTTGAGATGTACATTGAATCAGTAACAACTAATCATTAGAACGTTTAAAGTATCTTCTTCTTTTGGTAGGGTCTATCCAAATCTACAATAAAATATGGAAGATTCCGTTTAAAAAAATTGATAGATTTTGACACTTTTTCATTATATTACATAATCGGGTAGACCCTTCCATGAGACGAAGATTGATATGACATACTACACCTTTTCGACAACAACGTTCAACTATGACAGCCATTTTGACAGATGGCGATTTTATATTCCATGGTTATAAATTTAACATAAGGAGCTTCAAAATGAGGTATCACACGATTCCTCATTACATTTAAAAAAATATTACAAAATGGTACCCAGCCACCATTTTGAAATTTACAACTGCCACTTTTTGAAAAGGATATTGTATCATGAATGCTCCAAAAAGCATCATATACTAAGCTCGTGAAAATAATGATATTGAGACAGATATGCTTTAGTAAAACGTGGCTCCTTAATTAGATACAAGACGCCGAAGGTTCATTTTCAAAATCGCTATTTGTCTATTAATCGGGATACTTCTGAAAGATCAAAATGAAAACCCTGACGTTGAGAAATATGAAGACGAATATATAGTATGTAGATGGCGCTAGTTAACAACTTTCCGTTATGTTTTATGTAAAATTATGCTGTCATGATTTTGGAGTTAAAAATGAACCCTTTTTGTTATCAAATATCCATGCCTACGTTTTGTGAAACTGATTCACCCTAAATTAGTAAGAATTCTTGAAAAATTGAGCAAAGGATGACA